GCATATCAAAAAACAACCCCAGAAATAATTTCATTTTAAGTGCAGCAGCCCTTTGCGCCTCAGAGCAGTGGTTTTCGCCAGAAACGGAGAAATATTTCCCAGGGCGGAATGGGACGAGTGAACCCGGCTGCCTTTACATGCCCACTTCTTCTCAGGCGCCTTACTGCAGCTCACCCCAGGCGAGCCTTCTAGCTCTGCCCCTTTCTCCCCAGCATTTTCCAGGGCTATTTGGCTGCAGGGGATATTTAAACGAGCATCTGGGCTGCCAATTCGCATGGCAATGCGTAGGCCACCTCTGACACAGGAAGAAGAGCCTGGAGGGAAAGGGAAGAGGAAGAGGAGGAAGGCGAGGTGCTGGCCAGCAAAAGTGTGGGGAACGGAGAGCCTCGCAGACGGAGCAAGCAAACTTACAAAAAGGGGAGCCCTCCCTCCCTCTCTCTCTCTCTCTTACATACACACACATAAACACACACACACGCGCGCGCGCGCTTTCTCTCCCTTCTCTCTCTCTCTCCAAAGGCACCAGAATGAAGTACGTGGATGGAAGGGTGCAATCATGCAGCGAAGCCTGATCGGATTGTTATTAACTATGTCATTGTGGGGGCAGGGGTGGCAGCCCCCCCTTGACCGCTTACGAGTACATCAAAGCAAGCTCCCCCGTATCCTGTGCCCTATGCTCCTCACCCCTTGGTGTGGGGATTGGCTGTCCGGATGATAGTTTAAGTGTCCCACGCCAATATGCCAATAAAACAAGGCTTCTGTTGCCCTGGAAACGCTTCCACCCCCCGCCAGGGAATCCAGGCATCCAGGCCGCCGCTGCTCTTCTGCCTGACAGGGAATCCCACAAAGGAGCTGTGGGGGGGTGAGACGCCTGGCTGTCCCTGTCCTCCCTGCAGCCCGCCCACTTGCACTGTTTTATGTTTACATGTTTGATGACAAACAGCCTTATGTTTATAAGTGAGTATAGCCCAAACTCTATATTTTAACTGGAAAGGTTGGGGGTTGTCTTATACGCCCAGTCATCTTATACGCCGGAAAATATGGTAACTATTTTTGTAATGTTCATTTTAAGCATGAGGATAGACATAATCTCTTATTGATCTTTAAATTATTCTAAGAATGAAGGTGAAAGTTTGTTCTCTGAGCTTTTGGGTTGGTTTCCGAATGTTTAGTTACCAGGCTAGGTAACATATCTTCAGCAGAGTTTAGGGGATGTCAGTGTTCTTATGTTTAGAATAGAATAGAATAGAGCTAGAAGGGACCTTGGAGGTCTTCTAGTCCAGCCCCCTGTTCAAGCAGGAGAACCTACACCATTTCAGACAAGTGACTGTATAGTCTCTTCTTAAAAATCTCCAGTGATGGAATGCCCACGATTTCTGGAGGCAAACTGTTCTACTGGTTAATTGTCCTCACTGTCAGGAAGTTTCTCCTTAATTACAGGTTGCTTCTCTCTTTGATCAGTTTCCAACCATTGTTTCTTGTCCTGCCCTCTGGTGCTTTGGTGAATAACGTGACCCCCTCTTCTTTGTGGCAGCCCCTCAAATACTATCATGTCTCCCCTATTTCTTCTTTTCTTTAGACTAACCAAACCCAAGTCCTGCAGCCATTTTTCGTATGTTTTAGTCTCCAGGCTTTTGATCATCTTAATTGCTCTTCTCTGAATTTTTTCCAGATTCTCAACATATTTTTTGTGATATGGTGACCCAAATTGGCTGCAGTATTCCTGGTGTGGTCTTATTAGGGTTTTATAAAGTGGTACTAATACTTCACGTGATCTTGATTTTATGCCTCTGTTTATACAACCCAGGATCGTATTAGCTTTTTTTGGCTGCTGCTGCTGCACACTGCTGACTTATAGTCAAGAGTCCACTAGGATTCCAAGGTTCCTCTCACAATTAGTTTTTAAGGCAAGTCTCATGTAATGTGTACTTGTACCTTTGATTTTTCCTGCCTAAGTGTAAGAGTTTGCTTTTCTCCACATTGAAACTCATTTTGTTGGATAGGGCCCATTGTTCAAGTTTGTCAAGATCTTTTTGGATCCTGACTTTATCTTCTGGGGTGTTGGCTACTCCTCCCGTTTGGTGTCATCTGCAAATTTGATGAGTTCCCCTTCAATTCCCTAATTTAAGTCAGTTACGAAGATACTGAAGACGCAACCTTGTGGTACCACTGCCTACTTCTCTCCATGTGGATGTAGTGCTACTGAGGACTACTCATTGAGTATGGTTTGCCAGCCAGTTACAGATCTATCTGGTGGTGATGTTGTCTATTCCATCTTTTTCTAGCTTACCAAGGAGTAGGTTGTGGTCTACTTTATCGGATGCCCTGTAATGTGATGTGATGATCATGTGATGGGTCAGGTATCATCACAAGATCCATCACAAGACCTTCAGTTGATACACCCACACCTGACGCCCTTATAAACAGGAGAACACTGACACAGACATCCACTAAACACCGCTGAAGATGTTACCTAGCATGGGTAACTAAACATTCTGAAACCAACCCACAAGCCTGGAGAACGAACCTTCATCCTCATCCTATATCCAGACTACAGATATTCGCCACTATTGCTTACTCTAGAAATGTTTATGACTGGATTCTAGGTACAGGTAGTCCTCATTTAATGACTTTCTCAGACAATGACCATTCACAGTTATGAAAAAGTACTAGTTCTTGATTGAGGTATTTACTTCTTGATTTTTGGCCTGATGTTAATTTTGGTGTTAATCTATACTCATCTGGGTGTTGACTGCTGCTGGAGAGGTGTTTGGGTCTTTTTATTCCCTTTCTGGCTGTTGATTGTCTTTTTTGCACTATGTTGTTTATGCCAATATGTCTATTGATGGCCAATTTGTTACAGTGCCAGGCTTCCAGGAATTCTCCAGCATTTTTGAACTTGGCTTGGTGTAGGATGGTCACAATTTCCCAGTTGAAACTATGGTTAAGTCTGTCCATATGTTGTGAGATTAAAGACTTGTAATTATGTCTTCTGACTGCCAGTTGGTGTTCAGGGATTCATTCTGCTAGTCTTCTGTCTGTTTGTCCTGTACAGGGCCTGTTGCAGTCTTTACACTGTATGTTGCGGATGGCTTGTTTTTTTCTTCTGAGGCTGCTAGGTCTTTTGGTTTACTTAGGATGTTCTGGAGGGCTTTAGTTGGTTTGTGTGCTATGCTGTTGCAGTGCGGCTGTAATAATCGATTAGTATTTCTGAGATGTTTTTGATATATGGCAGTGTTACCCTTTTTACAGCTTGTGCTGGTTGTACTATATTTGGTTGAATGGTCAGGCACTTTTTGATGATTGCATGGATATCCATTTTGTTGGAAGATATTGTATAGATTATCTGTTTCCTTTTTTCTGTTGCTCACAGTTGCCATAGAATGCCTGTCTAAATAGAGTTCTTACAACGGAGACATGAAATTATCATATTTGAATATGAAAGGGACAATAGTAAATAATCCTATTAATGGTATTTACTTGAATTTCAATAAATTAAAATTTGCTTTTATTTTGCCTCCAACCATTTACTTATTCTGACTCTTCCTGCTTTTTGACTTATAACCCTGGTGATCTAATTAAAGGGCCAAGTTTTTCCTCTATTTGAAAATAAGTTTTACAACCTTTCCTTAAATAAATAAGCAAACAAGGTTAAACATGGTGAAGTTTTCTGGCTGTCAACATGTGTCCTTCATCATTGACTTGAATCATAACCAAGAAGTACAGAGAACAGGAAATGTTGGTGTTTGTTATTAACATTCTCTTTACATTTCTATTTTCTCCAACATACATTATATTGCAACATACTGGATTCTCCTTGGTCAAGGATGCAGAAGACCATCAGATATTTATAAAAACACATCACAGTTCTTAAGCTACAAACATTGCAAATAATTACAGGCAGTTCCAAGTTTAACCAATATCACAACTCTGGTCACGATGTTGATACCTTGCTGGTCTGATACATGAAAGTGGAATCTATTTTTGAAAATATTTCATAAGTGACCCAGAAGATTATAGACAAAAATTACTTGTAAAAGATATCTGGCAAGATAAAGCAGACAATCAAGAACAGTTATGAACTAATGTTGGTAAGAGCAGATCATGTATTGAATTAACAGAATGATATGAGATTAACTAGTGTATTGGGAACTGCAATGTTAAAGTCTGTAATAAATAAAGGGAGAATGGGAATATTTGGATAACTGTTATGATTGCTGGGGCTATATTTTTAATACTAAAACTTGGAAGCATAAATAATGCTGAAATTGAAGCCAGGTGCTGTAGCCTGAAAGCTTCAGCTTGGTTGTTTTTCCTCACAGCATATAAAGAGTAAATTTGCAGCAATGAGATTAGAAGAGGACTAGAGGTAGCAGTAACAGCAAAGGTTTGCAAACTGCAGACATTTGCTACTGGTTTCCAGATTTATCCAGAATAACATAGACTAAATGTCAGAAAGCATAGGACTTACAGTTCAAAGATCAGATGAAATCTTTTTCTCTTCAAGAAGGTAGATATCTAGGTCTCAAATCAAGACTGAGTTATACCAGATGTAAGACCTATATCTCATACCATGTAGAAAATTTATTACTGAGTTTTGTCTTTGTGTGAGAATAATATTTGTGAAAGGAAAGAATACCCTTTGCTAAGCAGTATTCGGTGCAAAATGTACTAATTTATAACCTTTTCATCCCCATCTCTTCCTGTAAAACATATTTTTTCAATATAACAGCATGATCACAGTCAATCAGCAATCATATGCTGAACATATTGATCCTATGGTTCCATGCCACTAGTGAGATTTGGTTTTGAATTAATATCAGGGGAAAAAAAGAATTATACCAAAACCCCCTATGAAAACTCTAGTTGTGTTGAATGTTTTCTAAATGAAATCCAGAAGATCAACTAACTGAAAATATTTCAGAAAAGCCACCTTAGGTACTTTTATGAATTGCATCTGTAACATTTTATTCAAAGCAAAGAGATCAATAGGGACTTACTGCTTGTAGTATTGTTACTTTCCCCAGCCTGCAGAAGAGGATCTGCATCCTGAATAACTTGTAATACTCCAACTGTTCGGATGGGAGTATCTACTGCTATGGAGCTTTCATTCACAGTGATATCACTAGCTCCTGTAATCTGATTGGTTGGTGGTCCTCCTATAGAAGCTTCAAAATCCGGAGGGATGTCATCCACACAATCTGCATTAGGCTAAAAGAAATTAAAAAGAAGAGAATCATAGAATTCGGAAGAAACTTTGTAAAAGATAATGTTCAGGAGTAATATTGATTGAAAAGGTTTCCCTCTGCCTCAAAATCACCCCTACAACTTGATATGTGATTCCGTCTTAATATATTCCATGTGTTATCAGGAAACCTATTGTTAACTATGTATTTTCATTTCACTTTAAACAAAAGTTGATCAAGGCTATATTAATTTGTATATTGAGCTGAAAATAAATGGTAATATCAGAAATTTGCTAGGATAGATTTTTGTTGAAAATTGCCCGGGATGAAAACACAACTCAGTTTATCAATATATAACATTTTCACATGAATTGGAATCCAAACTATTTTATACTTGCTATGGCCATACCTCTTTTTTTTTTTTGACGGCCATCTCTTCTCAATAACATACTACATGTACTTCTACTTCATAGCATCGATTCAGTTAAAATATTAAGAGAGAAACACACACAAAAGAGCACTTTTTAATTAAGCTAATGTAATCTTCAACATTTTATACCAGTACAGAGTCTACAATGAAATAGTCTTCCTCACCTAAAAGGCATAAGCAACTATTCTGGAACAAAACTAATCAAGTCCAAGCTATTTGGGAATCAGGAAAAGTTATAGCTCAATATATCAGAAGGGATTGTTTTTCTTTCAACAACTCCTTTTTTCTGAACCTTCACTGCTTTAGGAAACTCAAGATTTAATGAATTCATTGTGTTTTAAAAACAATGTATCAGCTGTAACACCAATACCAATGCAAATAGTACCAGTTTTAAACAGTTTCTCTATTTAAGTTCGTAAGTACACAAAATGGCCATAAAATACTCAGAGCTTTTATGCTGCATTGGAATATAATACTTGCTTTTACTTATAAATTAGTATATATGACTTGCTTTTAATTATAAAAAGAATACAATTTACAAAAATTAGGTAAATACAAAATTGTATTTTCAAAAATACGGTTTTACTTACTGTGTTACTTGGAATGCTTACCGGAATCCCTAGTGCTTTTAGTATATTCATTTTACACATAGGACAGGTACGATGATCTAGAAGCCATGGATCTACACAAGATTTGTGAAAGAGATGCCTATGAAATGAAGGAAAATTATATTTAGTTCAATGTTTCTTTTCTACAGGTTGGAATTTTCAAACATTACGTTGAAATAATTTATCTGGCAATATAAGGAATCTAAACTAGCAAACTTTTTTATCAACCTAAAAATGAAGTCAGAGCTGAAAAACAGAAGTATTTTGGAGTTGATTATAATGTAGTATTAGAATCAAAAGCAACAAAAAATGGAAAATGAATCTTTTTAGTATTATAAATATTACTATGATAGATTTTTTTTTAAAAATATATGGACATCACTTTTGGATGTATGTGAAATACAACATAAATAAATGAACAAATCCACTGTCCATAATAACAATTCCAAACTTAGATATAGATAATAACACATAATAAACAGTTCATTGTATTTTATTTATTGTGACACCAGTGCTAAATTTATCATAAAAGCTAAGACACATTTATCCTCATCCCAAATGTTATGATAGTACAGGCCAATAAATGTACAAACCTCTATATCAAGCAATCTAATGAAACTTTGAAAAAGATTCTGTTTCTTAAAACCAATTACTTGATTAAAATAAATTTGTTGGGATAATGATAATAACTTACCGGCAAGGCAAGATCCTGACAACATCATTTGGTTTGTAACCCTCAATACATACTGCACAGTTGTCAAAATCAGACTCTGTTTCCTAAAATAATAATAATAATAATAATAATAATAATAATAATAATAATATCAAGAGAGGAATATTTCAAGGAGATTATCACCATTACTATTTGTCATTGCACTGTTTCCTCTGTCAACAATACTGAATAACTCAGGACATGGCTATCAAACATCAAAAACATCTGCCAGACTATCCCACCTCCTTTATATGGATGATCTGAAGCTGTATGGAAAAACATCATCTGAAATAGAATCGCTGCTCAACACTGTCCGTATATATCGCCAAGATATTGTAATGGAGTTTGGCTTGGACAAATGTGCCACACTTACTATCAAACAAGGAAAAATAGTGAAAACTGAAGGAATCAAGATGCCCCACGAAAATAACATTAAGAGTCTGGATGAGGAAGAGTACTACAAATACTTGGGTATCCTTCAAGCTGACAACATCAAGCACACTGAAGTCAAGAAAAAGATTAGAGGTGAATACATCAAGAGAGTGAAGAAGATCTTAAAATCCAAACTCAATGGAGGAAATACCATAAAGGCAATCAACACCTGGGCAATCCCAGTCATTAGGTACACAGCTGGAATAGTGGACTGGACTCAAGCAGAACTAAAAGCAATGGATAGGCAGACCAGAAAAATAATGACAATGAATCATGCCCTTCATCCACGCAGTGACATTGATAGACTTTATCTACCAAGGCAAATAGGTGGGCGTGGAATGCTACAAGTACATCAGATGGTTGAAGAAGAAAAAATGGCTTTGGAAGAATATCTGAAGAACAATGATGAAGATGCACTGAAATTAGTATATCAGGAAGGCTTACTGACTACTGGAGAGACCAAACTGGCCTACAAAAAGACCAAATGAAGAACAGAATAGAGGCATGGGAAGACAAAGCACTACATGGCCAATACATTAAAAAAATAGCTGGGAAAGCAGATAATAATAAAACCTGGCAATGGCTAAGAGCAGGAAAATTGAAGAAAGAGACCGAGGGACTAATTCTGGCTGCACAAGACCAAGCCTTAAGGACAAATGCATACAAAGTCAAAATTGAGAAGACAGCAACAGACAGTAAGTGCCGCCTATGCAAAGAAGCTGAAGAAACAGTGGACCACTTGGTAAGCTGTTGCAAGAAGATTGCACAGACTGATTACAAGCAGCGGCATGACAAAGTAGCAACAATGGTGCATTGGAAGATCTGCAAAAAATATCATTTGCCTGTAAGCAAAAACTGGTGGGATCATAAAATAGAGAAAGTCATAGAAAATGATAAAATTAAACTGCTCTGGGACTTCAGAATTCAAACAGACAAGCACCTGCAACATAACACCCCAGACTTAACAATTGTCGATAAGAAAGACAAAAAAGTCTGGATAGTGGACGTGGCAGTGCCTGGAGATAGCAGAATAGAAGAGAAAGAACTGGAGAAGATAACAAAATACAAAGACCTACAAATAGAAATAGAAAGACTGTGGCAAAAGCAAGCAAGGGTAGTACCAATAGTAATAGGCTCCTTGGGTGCAATCCCAAAACAACTGGAGCACCACTTGAACACCATTGGCATTGACAAATTCGCTATTAGTCAATTGCAAAAGGCGGCCTTACTAGGAACTGCTTCCATCCTGCGACGATATCTGTAATACCATCAAACATCCACATCTGCCTATCCCAGGTCCTGGGTAAGGACTCGATAGGTAGACAAAATGCCAAATCCAGTCTGAACAACTGGCTGACTGTGCGATGATCAATAATAATAATAAATATTTTAAAATAACAAAAATGCAAGCTGAGTGAAATTCAGAGAGATGTGTCCTTGTTGATGTGGTCAGGATCTATGTGCAAATGAATAGTGGTAGGATATAACTATCTGATTTTTTTTCCTTTTTGTCCATGTAAATGGACAGTCTAAACTCCAGATCATAGTGGAAATTGTAGTTTTGCATGAACCTTCTTTATATTTATCCAATCTTCTGACCAATCTTTACACACTCCATTTTGTAGTTGCAAGTAAAAAGTTCTAGTTTTATTTTTTTATTATTATTATTTTGCCCTTAATATTGTCTCTGAACAAAGTGGTCATTTTTAAAGAGAAGTATTTTTTAAAATTACCTTATCTCCTTTCCTTATTGTTCTGACTTGGAGTTTGCTGATTGCTTTCTTTGCAGCATCTCCAAGACGACGCTGAAAAGAAAAAAAAAACACAGAATCATTTTATACTTATGGGATAAACTTTCATACAGATTACTTCTCGTATTAATAATAGTTGAAAACCATTTAAAACTAAAGAGGTAAAAACAAGGACTTGTATAGAGAACAAATACTGTACAACACTTAACATAGCACAGATTAAAAGTATGAAATTATGAATAGCATTGGTAAACAAAAATGTGAAATTTGGTTATTAAAGTTTAAATTCAAGCATTAAGAAAGATGTACCTTTCTCCACTTGCTTTTTTTGCCATTTATATGTAATTAACTTTCAGATCCACACCCTATGGTGTATCGTACAATCTTTCATTTGTAAAAATTTGGTTCTCAACTCAAACATGATGCTGCATACATCATCTGCATGCAGCATTACCTGGACATTTATGCCACTAAGTATCCTTAGGCTGTCTTTATGCATTACTGTAGTCCATAAATGCATGAACCAATCAAGAGTACATCACACATAATCCCTACACCAAAGGTCCCCAACCTATGGTCTGTGGCCTGGTACTGGGCTCCGGCCTGTTGGCCACCAGGCCAACTAGGAATAGCTGGTGAGCCCCACCCCATTCATGGTAACACCACCACATGGCACTGGCAGCACCATTTCTGCATGCGCGGGGACACTAGGACTGCTGCCGACATCACACGAGCATCAGCGGTCCATTTTCAACCGGCATCTGGGCGTCAGATCGTGTGCCATGGTGCACGTGTCCCATTTGGGCATGCACACACATGCTAGCGCTGCCATCATGCATGCACCCATGTGCACATGGAACCATACGTGCACACATTTCCCTGCACCAAAATCATATGAGCCTCTCGGCCATCTATCCCATAGGCAACTGAACTCTGTCCAACAAGGAGGAGACCAGTGACATGCACACAACCTGTTCCATCCACAGAAGGAGGAGGAGGATACTGACAAGGAAGAGGGCTATATGAATTGGTTGTGGTCATTGGAGTACATTGCAACAGCTCCTGCCATAAAGGGCACTCAAATTGGGCCTGAGCAACTCAGGCCAGATGCCCCTGAGGTTGTACCTAAAGCTGGGGAACAGGGAGAAGTCCTTAGAGAACTTGAGTGGAAGGCTGACAAGCAGCCTGAGCAGAGAGAATGCCACCAACATGAGGGAGAGTAGGAGATAGAATAGGAGAGGCTTCTATGGGGTAAGCCTGACGGGTCAATAGGGATAGGAGAATTATTAGCAATAACACATAAAGCTGCCAAATGTCTAATAGAGCTGGTCACCCAACTGCCCAAGAAAATAATGCCTATTTTGAAAAACTATCTGCTGGTATTTTTCCCTATTTCAACATGGAATATGGACATGGAGGACAGCAATAAAGAGTCCTTGGGAGTAGTTCTCATGTTACCCCCCATTCACTAATAAAATATAATACCAAACAGAAAATGTAAGTAAGAGAAATAAAATAGAGGTTGACAGACAAGTGGAAGTGAGATGCAGTCCAAATCTTTGAGAACTACTAATAAAGGATGGTCTTGCAGTAGGATTGAGTTCTAAAGAGGTCACCATTAGCTCAATGCTTCTAAAATAGATATAAGCCCCATATCGCCACTTAGGCCTACAGCTCATGAAGCAAAATGTCTAAGGAGACAATTTGAGACAAGAAAATCATTCCCACCTAGAAGTAAGATATCACTCCTAGATTTTGATACTATTCTGAATTGCCAACCTGCAAAAGTATTCCACCCAAATTGCTGCTCACCTCAAAACCTGCCAGAGCTTATACAACAGCAAGGTAGTAGTGAAGGTAGACAAATTTTACACCAAAAGAATTTTGGATAACTTCACTCCTGTTGGATGTCTGAAAAATCTGTTTTTGAATCCAAAATTCCAATATCTTCCCAATCACCCCCACTAATATTAAGCATGAAGGCTCTATCCAGTTATCTGGAATATTGCTGGTTGAAAGGATAGAACAAAGGATGGGGACCTGGTGGAATTCCTCTCTTTATTTAACTTCATAGCATTCCCAGAGAGCTGGTTGACTACAGATAAGGAAAAGATTCATTTTCCAGGCTTTAGATACTTGAAGTATAAGACGAAAGGGTAGACATCAGGAGGACTGACTATACTTGCCAATGCAAAGCTGGGCTGGCAAGTATGTGAATTGGTCTTGATGACTCTCATTATTTTGCTGTAAAATTTTATATAAATTCTCTGAAATAGTTCTACTGAACAAATATAAACCACCACATACATCTTCCCAATTTTCTCCCAATACTAGAAAAAACAGTGCTAAAGATAAACTCAAATCACTCTAAAGCTACTGTAATATTAGCAGGAAACTTTAATGCCAGGTTAGGGGCCTCTAGAAGATTTTGTATGCCTGGGTATTATTCCTGAGAATTATCTTATAAATAATCCACCTGGTTCTCTAGAGACCTCAAAATAAATACCGCAAGCTCATAACTGGTCTCCTTGATTTATAAATGTAACCTCCATATTTGAGGAGGTAAAGAACCTGGTTTTATATATCACTCAGGAAACTCTAACAGTGTTTTAGATTATCTATGTATTACATGAAACAAGATTGCTTTGTTATCAGACATCCAAGCTCACACAAGGAAGGATAGCAATCATCAAGTAATCACAGTCCATTTCCAAAGCAGATCTGATACTAAATTAGCTCTGCCTCCAGAACAGAGGCTATTAGCTAATCTTGAAGTAAGGCAGAATAGAAAGCTCAATTAAGCAAAAGTAAGGCAATATCTATCTTTCTGAATACAGAACATGTCCAGACTTGAACAAACTCAATTTTTTCCTCTATCCAATGTCCAGATAAAATCTTGACTCATTATACTGATTTGTGTCTTTCGCTGAGAAAATCCTTGACTGATCAACTTCCTACCAGAAACCAACAGCACATAAGTTCAAATTGGTTTGATTCTGACTATTTCTATACCAGAAAGTTATTGAAAGCAGCAATGCACCAGGTCCAGGGACACACTAATGTAAAAAAATACACTAAAATTTTAAAAATAAGGTGTCATTGCAAGAAAGTGATAGCATCCCAAAAAACTTCCTACACAGCTAAAATATGGTCAGATCTGGAAGAGAGAAATTTATTTTTTTTCTGGAATATTGCATCAAGTTTACTGAAGGAATGTAAATTCCAGTTTGATATTCTTATTCCAGCTTCAGTTTGGAAGGATTTATATACAAAACTACTTACTAATTCTAACTAGGGCTCCCTAGATAAGCAAATTATTGATACTCTAGTTTTTGAAAACCTTCTTCCCTGGCCTCCAGTATCAGTATCAGAAATCAAATTTATTGTCCAATCTCTAGATTCTAATAAAAGATCTAGAGAAGATTATTTTTATCTTCAGAACTCTAGAATTCTTCAACTAACTTATTGATTGGTGGGCCCCATTGTTAAGAGGGCTGTTATTTCATATAAATTTGTTTTATTTATTTACCGTATATGCCGGCGTATAAGATGACTTCCGGAAGCGCTAAACTCGGCGCCAAAGACAGGGGTCGTCTTATACTGGTAGTTTCCAACGTATAAGACAACGTTCTAGGAATGCAGCTCGGCGACAAAGACGGGGATTGTCTTACACGCCGGGTCGCCCAATACGCCAGCATATACGGTATTTAGGAAATGTATATGGCCTCCTACTCACTCAAAGTGACTCTAGGCAGTTTACAAACAACAATATATATTTGTTTTCGTAGAAAACACAGAACTCAGGATATCACTACAATAGATCTCAGGATGTCATCACACAACCCATTACCCAGGTCGTTACAAACAAAAGCCAGCATCTCAACTACTCAGGATGTTATGAAACAGCCAAACAATCCACAAACAATAACTCCTACACAGCCAACCAATCCACCTACAGCAACTAAGCCAGCACTCCACACCCCCCCCACCAATATATATAGAGAGACGGCAGTTCCAATCACACTTTGTTTGCACAAGCACGAAGCCGAAGACCCCAGCCTGAAGATGACGAGTGGGACCTCATCGAAACGTCGCCAAGATACTCTCAATCTTATACGGGAAAAGACCCAAATACACCGAGACCTGCACCAAGACCTGCACATACATACATGCACATACATACATACATACATACACACACACACACACACACACACACAAAATAGCAATAGCACTTAGACGGGGCGTTGACTTACCTGAACGCCTTTTCTCAGCACGGAGATGGATAATCCACTCAGTGGGTTGAGACTGTATTCCTGGCCAATCAGACCAGTCAGCCAAAGTTGCCACGCCTGTCCTGGACCACGACTTCCCAGTCTTGACACGAGCGCAGCCATTGACTGACAGTAAGACATTTTGGCTCAACTAAATATACCCTATTATCCTAGTCTATAAGGGTGGGTGTGGATTATCCATCTCCATGCTGAGAAAAGGCGTTCAGGTAAGTCAACGCCCCTTCTCCAGCACTGGAGATGGATAATCCACGCAGTGGGACATACCAAAGCCTATTGTCCCTTGGGTTGGGGAATAGACTGGTCCCGTGTGTAACTTTGGTCTAGAACCTGCTGGAGAACCCTCCTACCGAAGGAGGCCTCTGCAGAGGAGTACTTGTCGATTTTGTAATGGCGAATGAATGGAGAGGGCGAGGCCCAAGTGGCTGCCCTGCATACTTCTTCAATAGAAGCCTGCATGGCCCATGCTGCTGAGGTGGCAGCGCTCCTTGTGGAGTGGGCCGTGATATGCTTGGGGACTTGCAAGGACTCCGCCTGGTATGCCCCAGTGATGCATGCCCTAATCCACCTACCGATGGTAGAGGACGAGACCTTCCAGCCCCTAGTAGCGGGGTGGAAGGATATGAAAAGTGCTTCCGAGCGTCGGAATTCCGCTGTGCGCGAAATGTAATGTCTTAGTGCCCTTCGTATGTCCAAGGTGTGCCATTGTTGCTCCAGGGGATGAGCTGGGTTTGGACAGAAGTCTGGTAGGACTATTTCCTG